GGGGTAGTGGTAGGGTTCGCCTGTGGCCACCTGCCCTCGTCGACGTTGAGAAGTCGGCGGCGAACGAGGGGGGGGACGAGAAGGAGGCGGCCTTTTCTCAGAAGGCTCGGAAGTCCCCTGGCCTTCCGAAGAGTCTTCGAAGCCCTCCCCGAAGATACGGAGAATTTCTCAGAAGGCGTTCGCCGCCGAATAAAAAAGGGCTACTCCTCGTCGACACGTAAATCGGTAGCAAATCATGGGAGCCTGGTATACCCTCTTCATTCCGCCTTCAGCGTCGAGTAGCGTCGAGTAGCGCCTGAGAGTGGATGAGATAGCGCCGATTCAGCGTCGGTCAGCGTCGGTTAGCGTGACTTAGCGTCGATTTAGCGTCGACTGGCGTCGACTCGCAAGGGCCGACAAGATGGGATGGGAGGCTCCCAGGAGTTGCCACCGAGGAATCGACACGGAAAGAAGGGCTACCCATCGTGGCTGCCCATCGGTCGTTGAAAGTAGGTATTTTTTGATCCCCAGATTCCAACCTTTTTTTAATCAGCGCCTTCCCACTTCAACGATCGAGTGAATTCACCTCTTCCGTCCTCCCGAGGCGGCGGACGGGGGACGGAACCCGATCTACTTTCAAAATGCTTTCCTACTTCATTTTTCTATCCACTTCTTCCGGCCGATGGGTACTCGGCGTCACCCCAACATACTTATACTATATGTGCGTCGCCCCCCCCCAGGGGCGACGCACGCACCGAGAAATCTTATAGTATATGCGTCATGGCGGTGCGTTCTGGCCACGCCGCGCGGGAAACAATCTACTACAAGATGGGCATACCACACATTCGGGTCGGACGCGCGCCTCCAGGGAGGGCATACAGTGCTGGTACGTCCCTGTGGGTCCCGGGTGCTCCTCGTCGACACGTTGAGCGTGACTTTCCGCCAGAGTTCAGGAGGGGAAAAAACACACAGAGACACAATTCATCGCCGATGTTCAGGAACGTATGCAAACATATGGGAAGTGGGGGAGGGGGAAGACGAGCATCCCAAACATATGGGAAAGTGGGAAGATGGAAATCCCCACATCCCAAAACATTTATTGGAGAGGCCTGACGGCCGGTGCCGCCGACCCTGATCGAAAGGGCTAGGAGTGGGGGGAGGAGGAGGAGGAGGAGGAGGAGGAGGAGGAGGA